TAGAGAGAGAGAGAGAGAGAGAGAGAGAGAGAGAGAGAGAGAGAGATGTGAGTAGATTTAGTTCGATCATTGCGTGGGCGCGCGTTTATAATAATTTATCGAGTATACCTGCCATGCTGCCGGGGTTGCAAATTCAGCACACTCAAACTAGGACACTTCTGACAGGCAGGGTTGACGCAGCCCACTTTCTCGATGTTCAAAATAATTGATTCTTTAGAGGCGTAAACTATTTGAATTAGAGACTCGTTTATTTATCACAATTTTGCCTTTTCTGCACTGTTTTCAGTTCTAAAGAGAGGTATGAACAAATGTGTACTGTTTGCAGTATTTTGCTGTTCATTAATTAACATGTCCATCGTGTTTAATGCGGATTGCGTAACTTGTAACTTTCCCACCTAATATAATAGACGCTTTTCATTAATGCGGATTGCGTAACTTCTAACTTTTCCACCCATTTTACGTCATTTTCAACCATATTATGTGGTACTTTTCCTGAGCACACGTATCGATGAGAAAGGATTTGTAGTGTTGAAGTACCACCTCTAACTCAGTTGGTATCATGTTGGACTACAGAGCAGAGGGCCCTGGTTCGAATCCCACTTTTGGTGTTAATGAACTCGGGTTGTTTTGTGGAGTTTTCAAGCCACTCAACCAATTTGGCTTTGTCCTATTGGAGGAAGAGGTGATGTGCGGAAGAGTGTTGATAGGGCGTTGACCACTCCGTACACCTACTTTTACTATTGTGTTAACGGTTAGTTGTTCTATTTGAGCACGAGCTGTGGCGCCAGGTCTTCTTTGGCAAGGATAAGATGGCACATATCATCATCATCATCATCATCATCATCATCATCATCATCATCATCATCATCATCATCATCATCAGGCTGTCTCAGCAAATATGGGAGTATGTACCGCCAAGAATATTATTTTCGACATCGGTTTTAGTCTCCGCCTCTGTTGAGATGTAATCCAGCTCCTTTAGTCTGAATCTTAGTCTTCAGTCTACTTTCATTTCGTTATCCTATTTTTTTCCTATATCATCGACAATCTTGCGATATCTTTCCTCCTGGGAGTGTTACTATACCATTTACCCCAATCAATTATAAGAAGCAAAAAACCAAACCAAAAAAAACCCCCCTCACAATACAAACAAAAACAACAAAACAAAAAAGAGCACGTGATAAGAATAAGTCCATCATTTGTATTTTGCTGTTAAAAATAGCCACTACCAATTGCATCTGTCTGTCAATGTAATTTGCCTTTCAATTTAGAATGAAAGAAATTCGAAGATAAATCCTCACCCCCATCCCCCCCCCTCT